TTACATTGAGTAGAGTGGGTCTTGCAGGTGACCAGGATGGGGTCATTTGAATTATGAACTTTATGTTCTTTGTTTTTTTTCTAAAGATGTTGGGTTACCTTTCATGGTATTCGAGTTGTTCTGAATTATGATTATGAAATCATGAAGTATGACGAAGTTTTATGAAGTATTATAATAAGATGTTTCTGAACTATAAATTCCGTTGCGAGAAGTATGAATATTTCTATTGATTACTATCCAAGAGGTATTTGTCTTAAATAATTTTGAAACCCGTGTTATGGAGAAGGATTATGTTTTGTATGATGTTTATATGAAGATGTGACGCCCTTTTGTGGTTTCAATTTGTTTTATTTTCGTAAAAATATATGTAAAATATATGTGGGTTTATAAGGGTGTTACAATGAGCATAGGCTACATAGACAAATACTCTAAGTTTGTCGAGATCTGGTGGATGTCCCGACCAAACTTCTTCAGGTGTCTTCATATCTAATGCAGACAAATTACATTTGTTTATCAGATATGTTATTGTCGAAACAACTTTAGCCCAAAACAACTTCTTTAACCTAACACTAGTCAACATGCATCTAACCTTCTCCAAAATAGTTCAATTAAACCTCTCAACCAAACTGTTATGGATTATCTGCAGTAGTTTCGTGCCTTGCAATACTAGAGGCAACACAAAAGTTGTTAAAAGCCTCATTGCAGAATTCAAGGCCATTGTCGGTTCTCAACCTCTTGACCTTTCTGCCAGCCTGATTTTTGACTAGAGTCTTCCAACTTTTGAAATTCTCAAAAGTTTCATCCTTAGTCTTCTGGATGAATATCCATAACTTTCTAGAGTAACCATCTACTATGGATAGAAAATACCTTGCTCCTGAATGTGATGGACACCTTGCAGGCCCCCAAAGATCAGCATGGATGTAATCAAGGGAACCATGTGTTCTTTATTTGCCTTTGTTGAACTTCACTCTGCAAGATTTTCCAAGTACACATGGTTCATAAAACTTCAGCTTTTCTAATTTGTCTCCACCAAGCAAGTTTTGTTTCCCCAGTTCGACTAGACCTCTTTTACTGATATGGCCCAACCTCTTGTGCCAAAGTTTTATCTTCGACAAAGGTTTTGTGGATGTAATATTTGTCGAACTGCTTACAACTTCAGCCTGAAGAGTATACAAGCCTTGTTTCTTCACGTCTCTTAAGATTTCCTTTGATCCCTTCATGACTCTTAGGATGCTTTTCTCTCCTTGGAAAACATATCCTTTCTTGTCGAATTCACCAAGAGAAATCAAATTTCTCTTCAAATTAGGTACATACCTGACTTCAGTCAACAACCTTATTTACTCATCAAGGAGCTTGAATCTCACAAATCCAATATCTGCAATCTTACAAGCTTTGTTATTTCCCAGCAATACATATCCACCATCTTGATCATATAGTTCCTCGAACAAGTCTTTGTTTGGAGTCATGTGCCAAGTCCAACCTGAATCCATAATTCACTCTTTTCTTGAGTCGCTACTTGAACAAGAAAATCAGATGAGTCAAAATCATCTTGAATAATGGTTGCGTTGTCATTATCCTTACCTTCATGATCTTTCACGCGTTCAGGGCATATATTTTTTGTGTGACCCCCCTTCTTACAATGATAGCATCAAATACCATCCTTTCGTAAGACTTCTGCTAACTTTTACCTTTCTTCTTATCGAACTTACCATCCTTTCGCAAGAATTTTCCCTTAACGGCTAAACCTTCACCAACCGTTGAAGTTTTATGCTCCTTTCGTTTGTTCGAGTCCTTAGAATACAAGGCTGATTGAACTTCTTCAAAGGTCATGGACTCCCTTCCATACACGAAAGTTTCTTTGAAGTTAGCATGTGTTCTGGGAAAAGCGCACAACAACAACATCGCTTGATCTTCATCATCGATCTTCACATCAATATTTTTAAGATAAAAAATCAGCTTGTTGAACATATCCAAATGCTCAACTAACACTTTGTCTTCAACCATCTTGAATGAATACAAAGCTTGCTTCAGGTAGAGTTGATTTACCAATGATTTGGTCATGTACAAACTTTCAAGTTTCACCCATAACCCTGATGTCATCGTCTTCTTTGATACATGTCGAAGAACCTTATCACCAAGGCTTAACAAGATTGCGTTGTGGGTTTTTTCTATCATGGTCGTCTTTTCTTTTTCTGTTAATGTAGCGTCCATAGTCGCAGCTCCCTTCAACGCTTCCAAACAACCCTGTTGAACCAGTAGGACTTTCATCTTCAAGCACCACATACCGAAATCGTTCACTCTGGTGAAATTTTCAATCTCATACTTTGTTGAAGACATCTTCTCCATGCTCACCGCACCAATTTGTTGTGAAATTACAAGGAATTGGTTATTAACTGCTATTCTTTACTTTCTCTTTGAAACAATATTACAAGTGTTACAGAATAACAAATAGCTCATCTCACTCTAAATTAGGATTTGTAGTATGCAATGATGAGAGACTAGTATGTTATTTATAATAAACCTAACATACTAAACTAATAGACTTTTTCACAAATATCCATTACAAGCTAACTTAGGGTACAAGCTAACTTAAACAATTGGACATAACAAACAAGCCCAATTAGCCATGCTAACAAACAAGCCCAATTAGTCATGCTAACAAACCTAACATTTTCGACATTTATATGCTTGACCATACTTCGACTACAACATACTACTTCGACACTAACATGTGAGCGACTTTCGACTACATGCTAACCTCTGTCGAATCACAACTACCTTTCAATTCAATAGAATTAGTTTAAATATCTCACTGTTAAAAATTAGAATATTTTAGTTCATAGAAGATTATGAATGTAGTATGATTAGAATTCCATAAATTAGTAATATTTTGTCACTAAATATTACTTTTCCTACGGTTGCATTATTCTATCACTTTTATCCTACTAGACAAAGAACATAGAATTGATTGTTCACTCTTAAGCAAACCAAATTAGCTTTATATCTTTTACTATTTTCACTAAAAAGAATATTTGTTGAATATTTGTTTATTTATGGTAATAAAAAAATAATTCTTTTATTATTTAAATCAAAATTAATTTTGCTCACAGAAAAATTTTAACAAAAATAAAATACTAATTTTCTTTCTGTTCTTCACCCACAAAGTTTTTTCACCCTAATTTTTTTCTGTTCTTCACCCCCAAAGTCCCTAACTCGTTCTCTCGTTCTTCACTCCCAAAATCATAGAAACTCGTTAATCTTTCAACACATTAACACAGAAAATAATTTATCTTTGAACCTAGAAAATCTTCATTTGGCTAAACCAAAATCACGTTCTACTTTCGAACACTGAAAATCGATTCGTCTCTTCCTTTCATCATTTGATAATCGATCGTTGTCACGGTGAGATTCCTTTTTCATCATGGAAATCAGTTGAATCATTTGATTACTTTGTTCGTTTTCCAATTTTGAAACTGATTTGTAGTTTCATAGATCAAAACTCATGTATATTATCTTTCATTTTCCTATTCAGATCTGGAAAACGTTGTGGATATCTTTTCAAGGTTTTAGATTTCATTTGATCGTATATTCTTGAATTATTAATTGTTAATTGTTCAATGTTATCAAAATTTCATAATTTTATACTTTAGGTCTCCTGAATATTTTTCAGTAGTTTTAATTTGGGGATTTTAATTATTTGGTGCGAAGAGTAATTAATTTTGAACATATTATCATTGAAATGGGAAGGCTTAATGGTTTGATTAATTATAAATATCAATGTATCTTCTTTTTTGTTGATGTAGATTTTGCTTTAACACTCCTGTTGGAAATAATTTATATTTTAAGAATGTATTGTTGACTAAGTCTGTTAGAGAGTATTTTAATATTTTATTATATTTTAATATTGTGTATAAATAGTCTAGTAGTAGATAGGTCAATGTATTCACTACTCCTTATTTTACTACTCCTTATTTTGTGGACATTATTTAATATATTTCTTTTGTCCTTCATCTCTCCTTTGTGCACCAACAATTGATATCTAGAGCTCTGGTTCAAAATCCACGGGAAACATGAGTGAACAGTCAGGTGTTGTGTGATTGAGAATCACATTTTTATGATTCTATGGGATTTGTGAAACACTGTGTGTTAGTGAGTTTTTGAGTGAACTGCACAAGGTTGAAGATGAACAGAAATGGCGATATCAGTTCCAAGCTTCCAGTGTTTGATGGTAAAAACTGAAATCGTTGAAAGATCCAGATACGTGTGTTGTTTGGTTCTCAAGATGTGTTAGATATTGTCATCGATGGCTATGCTTCGTTAGCAGCAAACGCGACGGAGACACAGCAAACAACGCAGAAGGCGATAAGGAAGAAAGATCGGAAAGTATTGTTCTACATCCATCAGTGTGTAGATGCGTATGTGTTTGAAAAGATTGTTAACTCTAAAACAACAAAAGCTGCGTGGGACACACTGATCAGATGTTACGGTGGTGACGCGTCACTGAAGAAGGAGAAGCTTTAGTCCCTAAGAAAGAAATATGAGAATCTCAACATGAAGGACAATGAGACAGTTTCTGAGTACATCTCTAGAGTGATTATGATCATTAATGAGATGAAAGTTTGTGGAGAAACCCTTTCTGAACAAGTAATCATAGAGAAGGTATTGAGATCTTTAACTTCTCAGTTTGATTACATTGTGGTAGCAATTGGACATTCCAAAGATTTGAGCACCATGAGAGTTGAATAGTTGCAAAGTAGTCTAGAGGCGCATGAGTTGCTTATGACTAAGAGAACTTCTGAGAGGGAAATAGAACAGTAGGCTCTGAAAGCAACTTCTGGTAAGAAGTATCAGAAGCATACTTGGTCAGAAGCCAAAAGGAAAACTAATGGTGGTCAGAGGTCAGAAGCTTCAACCTCTGATAGGCAGAAGAATGTCTAGAAGGGAAAAGAGAAGTCTGACAAGAAGAATGTCCAGTGTTACTGTTGCAAGAACTTTGATTATTATGCCAAAGATTGCTGGTCAAATAAAGAAAGGAAATCAGAAGAAACAAATATAGCCAGAGGAGAGTCTGGTGATGAACCAGTGCTATTGTTAGCTTCTGAATCTGATGATATGAATTCATCAAAATGGTGATATATGGGCACAGGGTGTTCAAACCATCTTATTGGAAACAAGAAATGGTTGGTTGATTTTGACTCTGGGAAGAGTACAAAGATCAGACGTGCTGATGATAAATATCTCATTGCAGAAGGTATGGGAAATGTCAGAGTCATTCTAAACAATGGGAAAGCAGCAGTGATCCAGAATGTGTGGTATGTACCTGACATGAAAAACAATCTAATGAGCGTGGGACAACTGATTGAGAAAGATTTTTCAGTTACCATGAAGGACAATCTTCTGAAGCTGTACGACTGTAATCAGAAGCTGATTATGGAGTCAGGACAAAGAAGGAACATAACATTCAAGGTGAATGTTAGAACTGCAGACTCTGAATGTCTCAGTGCAACAAGTGTTGTTAAAGAGAGTAAGCTGTGGCACAGAAGATTTGGTCATCTGAATTTCAGAAGCTTAAGACATATGGAATCGAAGAAGCTGGTACATGGAATTCCTATAATCAAGAAGCCTGAGAAGTCACGCATGGAAGGGAAGCAACCAAGATTGCCATTTTCGTCAGAAGTAGCTCCAAGAGCAAAGTATGCCTTGAGAGTAGTGCATTCTGATGTGTGTGGCCCATTTCCAGTAACATCAATTGGAGGGAATAGATACTTTGTGTCATTTGTTGATGAGTTCATCAGAATGACATGGGTATCTCTCATAAAGTTGCAAACACGAGGTGTTTGTTGAATTCAAGAAGTTCAGACTGAAGGTTGAGAATCAGAAAGCATTGTTTTACATCCATCAATGTATGGATGCGTATGTGTTTGAAAGATCAGAAAGCATTATTCTACATCCATAAGTGTGTGGATGCGTATGTGTTTGAAAAAATTGTTGACTCTGAAACAGTAAAGGTTGCGTTGAACACACTAGTCAGATGTCACGGTGGTGGCGCATCAGCGAAGAAGGTGAAGCTTCAGTCCCTAAGAAAGCAATATGAGAATTTCAACATGAAGGACAACGAGAAGGTTTGAGTACATCTCTAGAGTGATTCTGATCATTAATGAGATGAAAGCTTGTGGAGAAACCCTTTCTGAACAAGTAATCATAGGGAAGGTATTGAGATCTTTAACTTCTCAGTTTGATTATATTGTGGTAGCAATTGAACATTTCAAAGATCTGAGCACCATGAGAGTTGAAGAGTTGCAAAGTAGTCTAGAGGCGCATGGGTTGTGTATGACTGAGAGAACTTTAGAGAGGAAAATAGAGCAGTAGGCTCTGAAAGCAACTTCTGGTAAGAAGTATCAGAAGTAGACTTGGTCAGAAGCCAAAAAGAAAACTAACGGTGGTCAGAGGTCAGAAGCTTCAACCTCTGATAGGCAGAAGAACGTCCAGAAGGGAAAAGGAGAAGTCTGACAAAAAGAATGTTCAGTGTTACTATTGCAAGAACTTTGGTCATTATGTCAAAGATTACTGGTCAAACAAAGAAAAGAAGTCAGAAAGAGCAAATATAGCTAGAGAGTCTGGTGATGAACCTGTGCTATTGTTAGCTTTTGAATCTGATGATATGAATTCATCAGAATGGTGGTATATGGATACAGGGTGTTCAAACCATCTTACTGGAAACAAGAAATGGTTGGTTGATTTTGACTCTGGGAAGAGTACAAAGATCAGATGTGCTGATGATAAATAGGTACCTCAATGCAGAAGGTATTGGAAATGTCAGAGTCATTCTAAACAATAGGAAAGTAGCAGTGATCTAGAATGTGTGGTATGTGTCTGGCATGATAAGCAATCTGATGAGTGTGAGACAACTGATTGAGAAAGATTTTTCAGTTTTCATGAAGGACAATCTTCTGAAGTTGTATGAGTGTAATCAGAAGCTGATTATGGAGTCAGAACAGGGAAGAAACATAACATTCAAGGTGAATGTGAGAACTGCATACTCTGAATGTCTTAGTGCAACAAGTGTTGTCAAGGAGAGTAAGTTGTGGCACAAAAGATTTGGTAATCTGAATTTCAGAAGCTTAGGACATCTGAAATCGAAGAAGCTGGTACATGAAATTTCTATAATCAAGAAGCCAGAGAAGTCACGCATGGAAGGGAAGCAACCAAGATTGCCATTTACGTCAGAAGTAGCTCCAAGAGCAAAGTATGCCTTGAGAGTAGTAGTGCATTCTGATGTGTGTGGTCCATTTCCAGTAACATCAATTGGAGGGAATAAATACTTTGTGTCACTTGTTGATCAGTTCACCGTAATGACATGGGTATCTCTCATAAAGTTCAAACACGAGGTGTTTGCTGAATTCAAGAAGTTCAGACTGAAGGTTGAGAATCAGAGTGGTCAGACTCTGAAGATTCTTAGAATTGATGGTGGTGGTGAGTATAACTTCACAGAGTTCAGAAAGTTTTGTGAGGAGAATGGAATTGAGCACGAGGTTACTGCTCCCTATACTCCTCAACACAATAGTCTTGCTAAAAGAAGAAACCGTACTTTGCTTGATATGGTGAGAAGCATTGCTGAAAGAGAAGAAACTTCCTCATACTTTGTGGGGAGAAGCTGTTGCCACTGCATGTTATGTGCTCAACAGATGTCCAACAAAGAAGCTGAAGGAAATAGTACCTATTCAGAAGTGGACTGGAGAAAAGTAAAGTGTTAGTCATCTGAAGGTGTTTGGTTCTGTATGTTACAAACATGTCTCAGAAGGCAGAAGACAGAAGCTGGATGGTAGAAGTAAAGTAATGTTACTGGTGGGGTACCACTGTACAAGTTTGTACAAACTTTATTGTCCAGAAATTAACAAAGTTGAGTTCAACCGAGACGTCATTGTAAAAGAATCAGAAGTCTGGAATTGAGAAAAGTCTCGTTCTAACTCTGATGAGAGAACTTTTGAAGAAAAGTCAGAAACACATATTTCTGAAGCTGGTAAAGATTTTGACTTTGAAGGCGAGTCCGATGGTGACTCTGAATTTGAAGAAGATTTAGAAGGTGCAGATGATTCTGACTCTGACTCCGATGGTGATTCAGACTTTGGGAATTTTCCAGACTCTGAAGACAGTCACGGTTCTGGAGAAAGTCCAATTTCTAAAGGGGAAAGTTCTGGTGTCCGAAGTTCTGAAGTTCAAGTTGAGAGACAACATAGAGTCAGAAGCATCCCAAGAAGATTTGCAGAGTTTGACATGCTGCAAGACACTGAAGTAGACTCTGAAGGAGAAGTTATTCAATGTGCAATGTTAGTAGACTCTGAATCCGTGAGTAAGGAAGAGGTTCTTAAGCAGCAAGTCTGGTTGCAGGCCATGAAAGAAGAACTTGATGCTATAGAGAAAAACAAAACTTGAAAGCTAACAAAACTTCCAAAAGGCAAGAAAGCCATCAGCGTCAGATGGATTTTCAAGCAGAAGCTAAAGCCAGATGAATCAATTGGAAAACACAAAGCAAGATTAGTAGCAAGAGGCTTTCTACAGAAGCCTGGGCTGGATTACTCTAAAGTGTTTGCACCTGTAGCGAGACATGAAACAATCAGACTAGTGATTGCAATAGTTGCTAACAGGAATTGGCCTTTGATGCATTTAGATGTAAAATTTGCATTTCTGAATGGTTTAAGGAAAAGAATCAGGAAGGGATGGTGTTTAGATTACACAAAACCTTGTATGGATTGAAGTAAGCGTCAAGAGCCTGGAATCTGAAGATTGATTCATTTTTCAAAGAACAAGGGTTTCAGAAGTGTGAGATGGAGTATGGTGTTTATGTTCAGCACACTTCAGAAGGCAATATAATTTCAGTATATTTGTATGTTGATGACATATTTTTAACAAGAAGTTCTGAACAAGAGATAGCTAAGTTCAAGAAGGTTCTGATGAATGAGTTTGAGATATGACAAATCTTGAGAAAATGAGTTACTTTCTAGGGATGAAGTTTATGTACTCTGAGAAAGGAATCATTTTGCATCAGATGAAGTATGAACTTAAACTTCTGAAGAGATTTAAGCAGGAGAATTGCAAAACTGTTATCACACCCACTGATATGAATCAGAAGTTGGACTCTAATTCTGATGGAAAGGATATGGATGTTACAACCTTCAAATAGTTGGTTGGTTCTCTGAGGTATTTGTGTAATACCAGACCTGATATTTGCTATGCAGTTGGAATGGTTAGCAGATTTATGAGTAAATCAAAGTGGTCTCATTACCAAGTTGCTGTCAGAATTCTGAGGTATATGAAAAGAACTCTGAAGTATGGAGTGTTATTTCCTTCTAGAAGAAAGACCGAATCAGAACTTGAGTTATTCAGACTCTGATTGGTGTGGAGACAAAGTTGACAGAAGAAGTACTTCTGGGTACTTATTCAAATTTCTAGGAGGTCCTATTTCTTGGTGTTCTAAGAAGCAACCTGTTGTTGCGTTGTCAACCTGTGAAGCTGAGTATATTACAGACGCTCCGACTGCATGTCAAACTGTGTGAATTCTGAACTTGCTGCAGATCTGAAGATCGAGGTAAACAAACATCTGAAGTTGAGATTGATAACAAGTCTGTAATCAATCTTGCCAAGAACACAATGCTGCATGGGAGAAGCAACTTTCTAAGGAATCAAATTCAAAGTGAAATATTAGAAGTTGTGCACTGTAGCATCCAGAAGCAGCTGACGGATGTTCTAACAAAGGCTATCAAGACTGATCAATTTCTTTGTTTGAGAGATAAAATTGGCGTTGTCAGTTTTGTGTAAATATATATTGAGGGATGATGTTGGAAATAATTTATATTTTAGGAAGTCTTGTTGACTAAGTCTGTTAGAGGGTATTTTAGTATTTTATTATACTATAATATTGTGTATAAATAGCCTAATAGTAAGTAGGTCAATGTATTCACTACTCCTTATTTTGTAGTCATCATTTAATATATCTCTTTTGTCTTTCATCTCTTCCTCTGAACTGGAATACCTTCGAAGCTAAAAAAGTTATGTTTATGTGTTTTCAAAAGTGCTTATACAGGTTCTTGAGTGATTAAACTCTTTCAAAAGTAGTCATATTCTATAAGCTACTTCTAAGTGCACACTTAGAGAAGTACTTGCACTATATAAACCGCTTTTACTGTGAAGATGGTAAACTCTGCATAAGCTAATAGAAATTGATGAGCTGTCCTTAGTAAATTATACCATGTGTTTAGTTCCGATTATTGTTTCATATTTTAGTTAGCTTTTTCATTTGTAAAACTAGTATCCAAAAGGGACTAACTTAGTACTAGTTTTTGTTTTGTTTTGTAGATTTAGTGATTAATTTATGCAGAGAAACATTCCTTCTTATGCAGAGAAGCTGCTCTCCAGTGTGTTTCTTATATATGCAGCTGGCTGTTTGAAAGCTTTTATTTTATTTTTACAGACATATGTTTTCCAACATGTTTCATGTCTTTTATTTATGAAACGTCATCTCAGTTTCAGAGTTTTATTTTCATTTTTATCTGCTCGTGTAAAGAAATCACCATTCAGAGTTTTATTTTCATTTTTATTTGCTCGTGTAAAGAAATCACCAAAAAATTTCAACAAGGATTCATGAAGCAACCGAGAAATATGTCTTTTATTTGTTAAATATCATCCCGGTTTCAGAGTTTTATTTTCATTTTTATCTGCTCGTATAAAAAAATCACCAAAAGATTTCAAACAAGAATTTCTGAAGCAACCGTCGTATAAAGGAATCACCAAAAGGTTTTAACAAGGATTATTTTGACACATGCTTCAAAAATTGATGGTTCTGGTGACTTATATACCGGGATTATGAAAGAAATTGTTAAGTCCATATTGTAATTCTAATTTATATAATATGAAATGGAACAATATTTAAATTTAATAAAAATTTACATAAATATTTTAATTTAGTTATTTAGTTTGGTCAGGGTTGAAAATGTATTTAAAATATTTTTAATGAATACTTGTTTTAATAATAATATTATTAAAATCTAAAATATATTGTAGTTTTAAAATAAAATTTGTATTTATAAAATAAAAAAAATACATTTATATGAGTTTTAGTGACACTTATAAAAATTGTAAGTATAATTTTTACTACGCAACATATAACGACAATTATTGTAATTGTAGATAAAATATTGTCAATAGTTAGAAATTACAGTGACATTTAATTTAACGTTTTATAATTGATGCCAAATAGAGTGTCACTATTTTTTTTAATAATGTACGTATTGGAGAATGGGGGCACTTGCCCCCACAACATGTTTAGTATTTTAGTTATTTGATTCCACTCCAAAATAAAGGTCAGGCTTCTCTAAAAAAAAAAAGTCAGCCCCATACACACCAACCTGGATAGTTTAAGCATGCACTGTTTTTATTTTTAACGTTGTTTTAATGAATTTATTATAATATTGACAGATGATTTAATAAAAAATTATTTACTCTTCTGCTTATAACATCTACTTTTTATAAATTTAACTTTTTAATAAGATTTTTTTATAAATTTTTATATGTTTTTTCAACAATCTTTTTATTGAATTAATATTTGAAAAATATAAATTTGTTTTCTCTCTCCTATTATATTATTAAAATTTGAAGACACTATTGTAAAAGTAACGCACCACTTTTACAAATTTGTTCTCAAGCATGTATTCAAAAAAATTAATCTATTTATAATTTGAGTTAAAAAGTAGTATATTAATAATGTAATATAGTCATTTAATAAAAATTTATCATTTAACTATATTATATAATTTATTTAAAAATAACAAGATGATTTGACACTTAACATGATTATGATTGGTTGATAGTGTAAAATTATTTATAATGTCAATGTATATCTTTTATTCTCTTATAATTTTATTGTGTTTTTTAATAAAATTTAAAATATGAGTTAAAAGGTAGTGCACTTACACTTTCATCCAATGAAATTTTTTTATTTAATTATATCATATAATTTATTTAAAAATAACTATATAATTTGGCACTAAATAAAATTATGATTAGTTGAAAATATAAATTGATTTTATATTTTCGGTATATATCTTTTATTTTCTTAAAATATTTGGGTCATTGATAATAAAAGTAATAGTTAAATCGAATAAAAAATTGATCATCAATTTTATTATTATTGAATTCTTTTTGTCCTCACTCATGGAATTTTCTGGATCTTCCACTGGTTGAAAAGAAAAATATTTGGCAAAATACCCTTTTTAGTCCTTTAAGTTTACCCCAAGGTTCATTTTGGTCCTTTATCTAAAAAAAGTGTCAAACTGGTCCTATAATTCTTTCAAAAGGACCATAGGAGTCCTTTTCGTCCATTTTGGTCCTTTTTGGTTCAGCCCATCCTTCTTTATTTCAATTTGTAACTCCATTATCTTATGTTTTAGCCCATCCCTCCATTCTTTTAGATGATGTATATCCATCTTTGCTCCATCAAGCTCATTTTGCAGCTTTTCCAATGAACCAAAAAGGACCAAAATGGACGGAAAGGACTCCTATGGTCCTTTTGAAAGAATTATAGGACCAGTTTGACACTTTTTTTAGATAAAGGACCAAAATGGACCTTGGGGTAAACTTAAAGGACTAAAAAATGTATTTTGCCAAAATATTTTAAGGTAAGGATAGGTTTTAAATATTAAGTTGATAGAATGTGATTTTTTATTTAAATGCTTTAAATTAAAATATAATTTTGATAATAAAAACGTGTAGTTTATGCTGATCGATTCATCTCATTAAAATGGTATATTGGATAATGATTTTTTATATAGAATAAAATTTTAAAGTGAATATTGATGTATAATTTTATCTGTATTTAATTGTTGGAAATCCACCAATACTTTATGATGAATTTCGACCACCACTGATGATTAGTTATGAGACAAACAAATAAAAGAACAATGGAGATATTTCTGCAGAATTTCTATTCTGCCCACAAACTGTGGAATCTTTATTAATTCACTTTGCAACTGCAAAATACTGTGAATGACTTCAATGACTTGAATACAAAAATAAGGGTTACTCCCTCTTATTTATAGATTTAGGTTAACTTGCTCTCTAAGCTAAACCCAAGCCCAAAATATCTCTTTACTAAATCAAATCTAATCTAGATTTAAATTCAAATCTATTTAAATCTAAACAAATCAAATCTTCTTTTGACACCTATGAATTACAATTTAACACACCACCTAATTCATTGTGTCTAAACTATCTATGTTCATCATGGCCCTTAACTTTCTGAATACTTCGACTTGCACTCCCTTCGTCATGATGTCTCATGTACACCTTTCTTTCTTCGTCATGTTTCACAAACCCAACTGGTTGTTTAACATAGACTTCTTCATCTAAGGGTCCATTTAGGAATGCACACTTCACGTCCATCTGACATATGTGCCAACTGTTGATTTCTGCTAGACCAACAATCAACCTGATTGTTTCGATCCTATCCACAGGTGCAAAAACTTCGTCGAAGTTTATTCCTTCTTTCTGTAGAAATCCTTTCGCCACAAGTCTTGCTTTGTGTCGAGTTACTTCACCTTTCGAATTCGTCTTCACTTTGTATACCCACTTGACATCAATTGCCTTCTTGCCTTGAGACAATTCGACAAGTGACCAAGTGTTGTTGTCTTCGATAGACTTTACTTCTTCGTTCATTGCTTTCACCCACTTCGAATCCTTTAATGCTTCAGCTGCATTAACAGGTTCGACATCTGCATAGAAAGCATAATGTACCAGCTCACCTTCATCATCTATTACATCATCTGATGTAATCACACAATCTTGCAATCTTGCAGGCATGCGTCTTGTTCTTTGAGGTCTGCTTGTACTGGGTATATCTGCTGGCTCCTCTTGTCGAACTTCTCTTTCGACTTGAGTTTCTGGCTCTTCGAATAAGATTCCCACTGAATCTTTCTTGACATTTGCAGTCCAATCCCATTCTTTGAACTCATCTATGATCACGTCCCTGCTGATCACAATCTTCTTGTTCTCTGGATCGAACAACTTGTAGCCTCCTGTCGAATGATATCCAACTAGGATCATTTGACTTGACTTGTCATCAAGTTTCTTTCTCAACTGATCTGGCACATGTCTATGTGCAATAGATCCAAATACTTTCAGATGACTTAAGCTAGGCTTCACACCAGACCAACATTCTTCTAGAGTAATTCCTTCTAGCTTCTTTGTAGGACTTCTGTTCAAAATGTATGTTGCAGTCGAAACAGCTTCACCCCAGAACTCTTTGGGTAAATTCTTTCCTTTCAACATACTTCTCACCATGTTCATGATGGTTCGATTTTTCCTTTCTGCAATTCCATTTTGCTGTGGAGTATAGGGTGGCACCACCTCATGCACAATCCCTTCTTTTTCACATAATCTGTCGAAATCTTTCGACACATATTCTCCTCCACCATCAGTTCTCAAAACTTTGAGCTTTCGACCACTTTGTCTTTCGACCATGGACTTGAACTTGATAAATACTTCGAACACTTCACTTTTCTTC